TTTCTCCACTTTGGAAGCAGCTAGAACAAAAAAATTTTCACTGTTAAATAGGGCATTGTTTACACTATATATACCGCTATTCAAAACAGAAAATTTCGTACCTACAATTTTTTCAGAAAATGCCGCCTAAATGCCCACTGTGATAAGTCAGTTACTTATAATTAGAAAATTATTTTATCGGTAGGGAAATTAAAGGGATTGCCTAATTTTCCACAAATATTATAAACAATTGATTGCTGGAAAATATGGCTGACCCACCGTATCTCTATCCTTCTAACACCTCTTTAGAACACTTGTTTAAAGTTCTTGACTGCAGTCACTGAAGATGAGTATCTACAAAACTTTTATGTCTACGTGTCTGTCACTTTGCTCGTACTAAAAGTAACGTGTATAAGAAATGCTGCACATTTCCATAATCTGTAGGGGCGGAACACAATTTTAGTTTTGTGCACTTTTTTCCAAGACTAAACGTTCAATGACGGTCGAATGAAACGAAGATACGCCTTGTCTGTTGTAGCTGGGTGTATCGGTGGTGCAATTTCCAACTTAATATCCGTCGATTATTCAGCTTGTTTAACCTACGGCTCAACTCATACTTTCATGTGCCTTTTATACTATAATAATGTCAGCAGCATGTATTCACAATTGGGTCTGAGTGAAGACTATGAAACATTTCTTTGGTCGTTTGCTCTGGAAAGTGCTTTGTACAATGCTACAACAAATGTTAGAGTTTACGAAAGTGCAACGCAAGCACTAACTCTGAATCCAGCTAGCAATATCACTGTCACATACAACGGTATTACAACAAACATAAATATTTTCACTCGTTGTCCAACGGCTTTTTGTTATTGTACAACAAACAATTGCAATACCAACTTGGATACATGTGGAGCTGGACTCAATTATCCAGTGTCATTTCTTTCGGCTAATAATTGTCTACCAATAATTAATATGACCGCAGTAGCATCAACGACAGCCGCCTCAGTCATCAATGCAAATTCAACTGCGGCAGCGTCGAACACAAGTGCAAATGTAACATCAGCGGGAAACATGTTAGGAAGTATAAACCAAATTTCATATCAGCAATGGTCATCTTTCAAATATACATGTTCTCTTCACTCGATGGTTATTTTCCCTTTCTGTTCTTTTGTTATATGTATTCACTGTCCTGTTTTTCTATGATGTATTATTTTCTCTTTCTGTTCACTCTTTCCCATGGGTATTTTTCATTTCTATTCTTCTCTCTCTCTCACTCTCTCTCTCTTGTACAATAGCTGTTTTTCCCAGTTTCCCAAAAGGGATCTTCCTGTAGCTAAAATATACTATATATAGTTGTGAATTTACTGAAATAAAGTGTGTGTAACAGTTACATTCTTCTTTGGCTATTAACCATTGGATGCAAAACGATTCTGGAAGGAATAACCTAACAAACACAACAAGAGCGATAACACTAAACGGAACACATACAGCCACAAGTATGTAACGCAGCGAATTGTTTTTCAGATAGATTTTTGTAGCTTAGAAACAAACACTTTTAATGGTAGATGCTACAACGACAGTACCAGTCATTACCATTGCACCACCTGTTTCAAACGACACAGCTAAAAGTAAAGTCTTTTGTAAAAAAACTTCATCTAAGTGATTCGTCTAATGTCTATCTCTTCTTCCAATAGAATGTTTTTCTGGTGATAGCCAGATTAAAATTGCTGACGGTACTTACAAATCTATTGCACAGCTGCAGTTCAGTGATCGTCTCGCCGGAACGACAGATAGCGATTTCGTTTTAATGTTAGATAGTGATCCGAATAAAAAAAGTGTGTTTCTATACCCCTAACAAAGTAAATTTCTTGTAAACTATATAATTTTCCGCTAGCATCATTCTATACCATAACAACTAAATCGAGTAAACAAATAAGTTTGAGTGGAAATCATTTAATTCCCATTCGATCAACATACAAATATGGCTCAGAAATGATTTACAAATTCGCGAAAGAAGTCAAAGTCGACGACTCTCTCTTCAATGATGAATTAGGTGAAGAAAAAGTTATAAGCATCGGACAAGAAGTAAAAGTTGGCTATTATGCACCTCTGTCAGGATCTGGTGAGTGAATATAACTTACATGAATAGTAAGCACCACTAACGACTTTTCTTTCCCAAATAGGAACTGTATTTGTAAATGGTCTCCTAGTTTCATGCTACGCTTACGTCCTCAGCCACGACTTGGCTCACCGGATGATGATGCCGTTCAGATTATATCATCGATTTACTCTTACATTTGGAGTAAAACAGAAATCGTGTCAACAAAGTGGGCTACACCCGTTGGCTAGTCGAATGCTGAGCTGGACAGAACAATTCGTACCAAAACGAATCAGCTTTCTAGTAACCTAGGTAGAACTTCAAAGATGATTCAACTGGTGTGTAACGGGAGAAGACTTTTGAAAAAGGGCCTCACCTATATTGTCTCTATTTTCGAGTGTTTTTACCCCATTGTTCTACTATTTTTCGTCTAATCAAGAATAAGTGTTCTATACTGCTCCTTCTCTTGCTTCGGTAGAAGGTCAAACGTTGAGACACGCTCACTCCGTCCACGCTCATTTGCCTGTGTGTACGTGCGTTCTGTTAGTCGGTGTACCTGACCGTTGCAGAGGGCTTCCAGTATGATAGTCCCTTAGTCACACAGAGGTAACCATTACGCGCCTGTCTGTCTGTATGTCCTTCCGTTACGTGCGTCCGTGTGTTTGTCGTTCCGTTACGTGTCTGTGTCTATGCCTGTCCGTTACAACTCTGCCTCCCCCCTCGCCACACTAAGTTTGTATGTGTGTCCATCATGTAGATGCCGCTTTTATGTATCCGCCACGCTTCAGCGTCTGTGTGTGTCTGTCACAATTTGTGGGCATCGCCAGCCAGCCACATACAAACAAACATTTTTTCATATGACCCTGCTAAGATCCTGGTAAGCTCTTGAGCGCCCTAACTGTTCATAAATCGGCTTCATTAAGGGCTCCCCCTCAGAAATGATGATTTTCGGTCAATAAATCGATTTTGAGATAAGCACATGAAAAGATAGCCTGAAGTGTCTACTTTCAGAATATATATGATTTAATACAATACGAATGGTTTTTGAGGGGGTTTTCAGACGTTATCTGAAGATCGCCCTACGGAGAACATATTTTTTCAACCTAATGCTTGTATTTGACATAAAACATAGACATATTACATATGAATGAAAAGTACTCACCGAGCTGCATCCAGTGGTGCAGGTGGCGACACCTATTAGAACATGTGGCGCCCCCTACAGCAGGTTTTACTTGTAGTTGACATGAAATATAGGTATATTATATTTGAAATGAAAGTACTTATCGAGATGCATCTAACAGTGCATGTGGCGACATATAGAAGTGTACATGACGCCATCTAGATATATGGTGTGAATTTTAGAGCAGCATTTCTTCAGGCTCACACAAACAGTTCATCTGCTTTTCTGTAAAAATGGCTTCTATGCAAAAAAGGCACTTTTTTCAATAAACTGTTTAATTCAGATAGAAAAAACAATGTGTTATTCGTAAACTTTATTAAAAAACAAGCCTGCATAATATGAATACATATTGAAAATAAACAGCAAAAATAAGAAACTGCTTTTTTTTGAAAAACCAGATCATGTGTAAAAATTTTCGAATAGGATCGTGTTGATTTTTTTTCATGGACTGATAGCCTGGAATGTCCTTTTGCAAAAGGAAGTCAAGGGAGACCTTGGTTTTCCGCGGCTCGGGCATTGTATCAGATTTCCTACGGGTCTCAGGACTGGCACCTGGTGACTGTTGGTAGCCTTGAAATCGAATGGACTATGGGTAATCAATCATGCTGAGTCTCGTGAAAATATTTATTTTTAGGAAAAGTTCCTGGAATCTGGCGGAAAGGGAGTTTTACGAAAACTGGGGTTTCAGACTGTTTTCACCTAATATTTAAAAATTCACTTTTCAATCAAAATACATCAGAATGAGTTCAAAACTTTAGGATATGATTAATTTTGTCCGCTAAACATTATTATAAGATCGAAAAAATCGCAAAAGCATATTTTTGTTAATGGGTGTTCCAGAAATCCGGGTTCTATACTGGAGGATGGGTTTTTGACCTGGGACTCTGGAAAACACCAGAACCGTAAGAGATGGCGAGGTAAAAAAAATTTCATTTTGGTGAACATGGACTTTTTGTATTTTTCGAAAATCTCTAGAAATCTTAGTTTGATCCTGAAATAAAGTAAAGACTTTTAGCCAGCTACAATGTACAAGAATCGGATGTTTTGAGTTTTTGTTCCGGTATTTTTTGGTATGCTCACAAGTCAAGAGTCCCAAAAGCTGAATTAATTTTTCCAGATATTTGTCGTTTTGTCTAAACCTAGACCAGAATTGCAAAATTGGACTCTTGTGTGTTGTAGCCTTATGTATTCACTTCGTTTTAAGATTAATTCAAAATCTCGGTCATCTATCTGAGTGACGATTTTTTGAGAATACAAAGATCTAGAAATCTAAAAAACGATTTTCAGAAAAACGTTTTTATCCATATTGGGGCTTGCAGCACAATGTTCTGAATAATCTGCTCGCCCGTTGTACTCCTATTATAACATTGCAAATATCAGAGCTGCACATTTTGCTTTCCAATCAAAATCGAATTCATATTTATTCGAATACACAAAAGTCTGTGTATAGCAATATCAAATATTGACGGAACAGACCAGTTCAATTTATACGAACACTTTTCTCCGATGGAAATATATGGCTTGATATAACGACCAATCTGAACATACAATACGTCATGTTTATTTGTCTACGTACTAATCAGAATTCATTTGTCTCGGACATCTTTAGTTTAATCAAAAAGTATATAGGCACATCATTCAAGGAAAGGAAAAGCAGATAAGAGGATGAAGATAATAGTATCACGTTGAGTATTACAATGGTGTCATTACAACTGTTAAACGCTTATAAAATGATGATGAGAAATAAAAGTTTCGATATTAAAATACATGGAGTTAGAACGTGGTTGTCTGCATTGATAGTCATATCTGAAATAAATTTTAAAGCTACTACTGATGGTAAAGCGGGATGTACAGTTTGATTTAGAAACTGAGGCTCACTATTTTCTCCTAACAAATGGATCAATGAATACTTTATCGACTAAGGATATGAGTGAAACGTCCAGTCACTGTACAATCTATGACTATATTATTTCTTCAAATCTTGTTTTGAGCGTCATCTACCAAGGAGAAAAGCGCTTTTTCTATTTAAATAGAAATATCTCTGATTGTTTGTTTCTTCAGGCTGGATTTGTATCTCAGGCAGCGTAGCTGCAGTAGCTCATGCAGGATGCACAGTGGGCGACAACGTGGACATTAGGGGAAAAAATAAAAGTTAGGTTTTTTGAAACTTGAATAGCAGGTCATATAGTTCAGCAAACGCTCTATCATTTTGCCAGTAGTGTCATAGGTGCTTGCAAGTATCTAAGTTGCAAAAAATCGAACTTTTATTTTATTAGCCATTATATAAAAGTGGTCGAATTTTGTATTAGTTTGACAAGTGTAAACGAGTCATCTATTTTTTTCATTTTTGATCATCAAGCCACATTACCTATAAAGTTTACAAAGTACATTTGTTAGCAACCCGCAAAAGATGCCTTCTTTGGGGATTGTGCAACAAACTTTCTATAGTATCTGTTCGTTTTGTAATCAATTGAAGAAGCGCAACATTTATACATAGCGTTGATTCAGTCAAAAGCGAGTTTTCTCGCTTTAATAATCATCGGTTTATAGAACAACACACCAAAAACATCGAGTTTCATCGAAAACCGTTTTGTGGAAGTTCTGTCCTACACCCGCATAGAGCAGAGCAGGCTGAAGACTTGACACCCTTCGACAACATCTCAAATCGCCGCCAAAAATTGTCTGTATGTGCTCAGCTTTGCCTCCCGATCTTCCTTGTTAAATTATGGACCTCTTTCTCCTTCTCCTTCACAGTTCTTCGTTTTTTTCCGGACCATATAAAACTGATGCATAGACTTTGTTAACATAGAAGATGTGTGCAGGACTCTGATCGGCTCTTCTACTACAATTTTGCCACGTCTCACTATAAAAAGCAGTTCTGGGGACTCATAACATGATCACTAGCATGCTTGCAAAACCAGATACTGTTTTCGCGATTGACCATAAAATGGCGATCATCGGAACTCCTCGCCGTCAGCCCTATTATTGCAGCGCGATCGCTAGAATTTCTTGTAAATTAGCAACTCGTTAAATAGCTCTTCTTATTATTAAGAAGAAGAGCTATTTAACCGTCATTTAATGATTTTAAAAATCATTATGCGTGAAGATATCTCTTTCACGACTCGACGTTCATTGTAGCGCTGAGAATCTCGGCGAAGCACTCACTATTCAAAAGAGTTCAGTTGTATATAGAAGAGAGAGAGCCGAAGAAAACGTTTTCCGACTTTCGCTTTTTTAGAGAGAACGCGAAAGAACAAAAAAGATTTAATGAAGCACGAACAAACCGAAGTTTTTCCCGTTATTTATTATCCTTTTCATCTGCAAAATGAAGCGGTGAATAGAAGAGGTTCAACTAAGCTGAGAGAGCGAGAAAGAAAATTGGCATCACGAGCAAATGTTCAAATCTTTCTAAAATGCGCTCGATTACGAAGCAATTATGAAAGCCAAGAGCGATCATAACGCGATATACGTAGAAAATGGCGATGCGGCCAACCGGACATCACAGCAGTCAGTTGCCCGATGGCGAAATTCTGCAACGAAGCTGACGCTACAGTAAACTTTGGTGAAGATATGGATGTTTCATCCAAAAATTCAGGAGTAGACGCACATACCTCCTACTTTCTAGCTGAGGAATTTTTTGTACCAGTTAAAAACAATAATACTTTTGCAAAAAGGCATAATCACTACAATCTCACCTTGAATAAATCCAAGCGATTATATAATAAAGCTAAGCTTAAGAAAAACTGAAAGCACTCCGTTACAAAAAAATAGATCTATCAACTTGTCAAAAGTCCCAGAAGACCATGTCACGATCATAGGTATGTACCATCTCCAAACACTTTGATTCTTCCT